CCGGTAAAATGAGGGACTTTTGTATATAAATTTCTTTATTAAAAACAAGTCAAGGTTTCCCTATAGCCAGTTTGCTGTAAAATGATTTTAAAGAAGTGGAAAGTTAAAACTAAATAGAATCGTACTGAAGGGAAAACATCGTCGAAGCCCTTCTGAACACTTAATTGTCTACAGGACAATAAACAACAATTATTCCTTAATAGACAGTGAAATTCCCTAACATTGATCCTGCGTTGTTTTATATTCAAAGGCCGTTTATTTTACCGCATCCACAGCCCTTACTTGTCACTGCGAATTCTACAGAAAATAAAAATAGCAATTGATACTAAATTGTACCAAACTCAAAAGGACACTCCGTGTAAAAATAGTATCACTCCCCCATATTAAATTTAAGAAAAAAACTAATTCATTAAGTTCATTTTATTTTTTTTGTTTGATACTATGTTTCTTTTCTTATTATTATTTCCTAATTAACTAATTAACCTTAAAGAACTGTATTTAATAAACGTAAATGAATTTAATGTAAACGTTTATTAACAGTGGGGGAAGGTGTCATATTAATGTCTAATTTCATTTCCAGGAAAAACCAAATGGTAAGGAATACATAGTAAAATCCCCAGTTTAATTGATGTGTGTAAGTTATATCGGAAAAGGTTACTATATTTTTAGATACGTAATAAATACGAATATATGTATATCGCAAATATTAGTGATGGATACATATTTCTTCAGATAAAAAATTTAGAAATCAATTTGTTACAGAAAGAAATAATAAGTAATGTTTTAGTTTAAAAGTTTTAAACACTATACATTTTTGGAAAAAAAAACAGTTTCTTATACGCACATTCATATATAGATTGAGCCTAAAAAAAGGAATAAACATTCCTTTAGCCAGAATATTATATCAAAACCTGTATGCCATTAAGCTATATTCTTTTTTCATGTAAAAAATAAGTATACCCTGCAGTTGAAAGGGAGGGGGTAACAAAATTTACAACATCCTGAAATTTGAAATAACAAGAACAAAGTATGACTGAATTATAAATCTAAAAAACTCGATAAAAAAAGGTTTTGTATTAAAAAACATAGACTTCTAAAATTTATTTCATATTCACTTCATATACTTTGATAGAATAAATAATATACTTTGATAGGAAAAAAATAATTCTGGCAAAATTTTCTATTATTATTAAAATTATCTGTCAGAATAGATCAATCTTGGATGGACGATAATAATAGAGAAAGCCGTAAAGGAATTTTACTTACAAATGTTGTCTATGCATTCACTATTTCTTGGAGACATGTTGTTCGGGGATTAGACTATTAACTAAGACAGTCTTTATTGAATTTTATTGCGAATTGTGTCGAATTTGTTTGCTTTAATGACACCATTAATTAATTTTATTTGTAATTTAATAAAGAAAATGCCAGGATACGTGCTTCAGCCACACACGTAGTTAAATGTGCAATGGCAATCATAATTCGTTGACGTTATACCGCTAATTCTTTTTATTACTTTGTTTTAACCTGAATATTAAATAATTATTTATAGTCCTGTAAATAAATTAGCATTCGGGATCATGTGCCAACAAAAATACTCCGTTTTAGCTCCAGTTTTTAAGTAATCTGTATGGTCTTTATTTTGAAAATAAAGACACTGGATTCTATACGAAGGTTGTTTTTTATATTTTTCATATAGGAGGCAGAAAAAAAAACAGAGAGTAGATAACTTTTAAAATTATTCTCCATGAAGAGAAATTAATTTTTGTATCCGTTGGAACCTTGTTGGAACCAATTCGGAAAGCAGTTATTCCATTCGCTTGTTGGTACCTTCAGAATTATTGCGTTTTTGAAAGCGCTGACTGCATCTTCTTTGGTCAAGAAGGTTCATTCTTAATTTTTGAAAAAGTTAAAAAGTCGTTAGGATTTATGTCGGGACTGTATGAAGGATGGTCCAACAATTCGATGTTTTCTTTCTTGAAAACCTCAATAGTTTTTCGAGCTGTCTGGGAACTTGCATTGTGTTGGTGAAGGATCATTCGTCGTTGAGGGTTGGTTTTTCGAAACTCAGCAATTACTTCCGGCAAAAAAATAGATACGGACCAATCAGCAGTAACAGTTCTTTGATCTTGCAGAGGAATTGTTGCTCCATGACCCGCTTTTGAGATAAAAAATCACCACTATCTTTTTGAAAACACTTCAAGAACGGATAACTTTTGTCGATTTTGGTTCATCTCGAAACACCCAAACAGTCAATTGACGTTTATTTTCTGGTTCATAAAAGAAAATCCAGGATTCATCACCACTGGCAATACTGTATATATATTTTGACACCATTGACTCTAATAGCTTTCTGTTCTTCCATCAACAGATGTGGTATCCAACGAGAAACTAATTTTACAGATAATTCTTCACGTAACCTTTTTGTATTATGGTCTTTGAAATGCCCAATAATGCTTCAATTTCACGATATGTGGCAGGTCGATCTTCTTGTATCAACTTACGTAAACCATCGACGTTTTCCAGGGTTACTGCCGTTATTGCTGGACCTGTTCTTCGATCGTCTCTAAGATTAATCCGTCCACGTTTAAATTCTCCATACCAACGAGAAATTGTCGACTGATGTGGTGCTTCATTGCCGAAAAAAGAAACCAACTCGGCAAGGCATTCTTGTTGAGACATAACTAACTGTCTTCGAAAATTGTAAAAAGTTATTGCGCCAATTTTTTTTTGGTTTAATTACATTTTTTGACTCGTTAACTTCAAAAAGTCAGTTTAGGTACAGCTATAGACGAGTAGGTCTAAAACTTTGACGTTAAGTTAACTAAAGATAACAGTTAATTTTTGACATTGTCGACATATGTTGACAAGTGTTTACTATGTTTTTATATGCAAAATATATAAAACAACCCTCGTATTTTGGTGAAGATATATTCGATTTGTATCTAATATAACTATATCAGAAAATTTTCAAAGCCATAGCATTTTTGTAGCATTGTATTTTCTTTCATTCTCCTAGATAAAAAGGATCTATGTCTATGTCAGACTTCACTGTTCTAGCGTAAAATCTTGTTTAATCCTTGAACAACAACAGGATTAGAGAGAATTCAATTATTATATTTTCCTTTTCTATATAAAAATGTTACACACACATCAGAACACCGAGAAATATTTCTGTGTGACCCACAAAGTCGAAATTCATTATGTCCTTTTGAGAGCCGCCAAGATTTTAGTTCGGATATTATTTAATTTGTCGTGTGTGTCACTGTTTCTGCTGTTTTATTTCATCTGTGACATGCTCTATCATCAAAGGAAAAGATTTCTTAAATAGAAAAGAAAATATAGAGCTTTATGTATCTGGACTTATTCTCGCTCTTGCAGCTGTATTTATTAAATTAAAATGTATTTTTAATTTACTATTTAGTTTGATTTTAATTGTTTAAAGAATTTTAAAATTTAAATCTCACAACTAGTATCAAAAATAAAATAAAAGATTTAAAAATATGTGGTCATTTACAATTTATAAAACGCCGTCTACATATAACGTTTTAACCTGTAGGTAAGATGGACTATAACTTATTCCTATATGTGTTTAATGAAATTTTACTAAAAAAATGAATTTATGGCTTAAATTTCATTGTAACACCGGAAAACTAATTGTGAACCTAACCTAACCTAACTAAACAATTTTGTAAAATTACATTACTTTGTGAAACTTTGCTAAAATATAAGATTTTTAAGTCTCAAAAAAGTAAAAAGTTTCATATTATGTTTTGTAAATTTTCTTATATATTTTAATTTTTTATCAGTGCAGACAAAACCACAGTTTTGTTGTAAAACTAAACGGTCCGGTTTTTCGTCTATACACAAGGTTTTTCGATACGTTTTGCCCGAAAAGTAAGACCAACAGGTAAAACGTGGAGTGTAGACGCAGCTTTAATAGGATGGGGACTAATAATTAATTTTAATTTATTTATTTTTAACTGCTCTATGTAGGAATGAAAGAACTCTTTTTAAAGAAAATTTTTATGTGAAAGTTAGGAAATAAAAAAATAATTATAATTAATAGAAACTGCTGTTTGAACACTGTATAATCGTGAATGCAATTAAACCTATTTGTATTTTTATACATACCTTTCTCTTATATCTTATATACCTAGTATATTTTTGTAGGATAAAGATCAAAATTATAAATACATTTAATATAAAAAATCGTAAAAAATCACGCTATGCAAAAACGGGTAATTTCCTAATAAACGTAAATAAAACCTATCTTTCCTATTCCGGGAAAATTATTGTAGGAAATAAAAATCCAAACGTGTGAAAAATTCACATACACGCAATTTCTACACGTATATTAGATAATGAACATATCCAATGTTTTTTTAATGTAATCACAAAAAGGCATGTCAGTCCAGCAGACTGGCATTTATAGATAATGTCAAATAGATTTAGTCAATCTGGCGAGCCGGAAACAATTTCCACAGTTTAAAAAAATAGAGTACGAAACTTTTACTATGGGAACAGGAAAATGTCTGGATATTTCCTACTGTAATAGGAAGAAATATAAAAATAATAAAAAAAATATTTTTTTTAAATGCCACTGTGGTAGAATCCACAAGATTCTTGGTGGCTATTTACTTGTGAAAAAATAGTTTGATGAATGATTTGATAATAAAACTAAACAAAATTAAAATTTAATAAAAAATAATTTTTGTTGGCTAGAGCCACCGAATTTTTTTTGTTATCCTTGTATTAACCATGGAAACTATTTATATTTAGGTAATTTTTATAGTTATTATTTTAATCAGACAGAAACATTTTTTATGAAATTTTAGGAAAATCAATGAAAAAATGCAGTTCACTTTGATCGTAGGAAATTTAATTTTAAAAACGAACGTGGGCAGATACGTATGTGCTTTTTCCAAAGAGACATTACTGTTAAAAAGAATGCCCCTTTTCAAAAATACGCGATTTTTTTCTGTAACGCTGAATGGAAGGCCAAAAAGCCAGTCTGCGCAACTCCACCCCTTACACCTATAAAAGCCAACGAACATTTTTGAACACACAGTCGACAAATTTTTAGATAAACTATCTAATCGTTGTTATTCCAGAAGACCAAGTAAGTGAACCATCTCCAGTGAATATCCCTCAGTGAACAGTGCAAGTGATATTCTTGATTAAATTTTTGATTTAAACCGAACCCCCTGAAGCTTTAAATTGCGATTTTTTGTTATATTTTCAGAAAATCCGAGAAAAAATGAAATCCTCACTGGTATTATTCTTCTTCGGTGTGATAGCATTCTTCTGCCTGTCCAAGGCTTCCGCTTCGGTGATCAGCTGCCCCCCCAACGGTTATTACCAAGACGTAAATCCAAAAATCAGCCAAATCTGCATGGCTATTGAACAGGCTCTCAGCGATTCATCATCCCCGAAGGAAAATAACTGTAACTAGTTATTCCTTTTAGAAAGTGATGATTTTAATCTTCTCTTTTTTTTTACAGACTTTTCCAGGATGCTGGATGAAAGGAATACGAACCTGAACGCCAAAAGACAGGATGTTGACCACGTATTCTTGAGATTTGGACGTGCCGGACTGTAAAGAAGTAAAAGTATAATAAACTGCAATATTTTCTGTTACTCCCTTCATATTGTTTAAAATTCGTTCTAACAATTGACGTTTAAAACGGTGAAAAAATAAGCTTAAATTGTATGCATTTTGTAAAAGAAAATGTGCATTTCATTTAGTGTATTTAGTTTTATGTGCCGAGTATTTTGTTTCTGTCTGATTTAACTATTCATGTAAATGTTGGGGTAAATCGAAAATAATAAATATATATTTATAAAAGTCCTTTACGTCTTATTTCAGAATATCTCTTTTCAGGAATATGTCAGCTGAAACTTTAAATATAAAAATATTTGCTTATTTCTTTAATTTTAATCTTAGTACAAAAAATATTATTTTAATATTCCTAAAATTTTTTCTTAATCAGGAAAAAAAAATTAACCATCAATTGTTTTGAATTTCAAAAAGTAAAATTGTTTTTATATTTTCCTTATACAGGGTGTCTTAAATAAGTGTATATATTTTTAGGGGAGGTATATTTCGATCCCAGAAACACATCTATATTTTTTCCGCGATTTTTTTTGAAAATTTGAAATTTTTAGTTAAAATCATACTTTATATGGCTATAGTTAAAATATATATATATAGTTAAATATAGGTAGTATATTAAATTTACAAGGAAGAAAACCCAGAAAAGATAAAGCGGTTCTCAAAATGTAAGCAAAAAAATTTTTTGAAAATTTCAAAGTAAAATATCTCGGTTATTTTGGACTTTTTGCACTTATTTAAGACTCACCCTATATAATAAAAATACCAAAAAATGTTTTCAAACCCTACAGGCCTATAAAAAAAATTTAAATACACATTTGTATAGATTTATTATTTTATTAGATTTCTTTCAGATATTGAAATCCTTTGTCAAAATACTTAGATGTCTTTTATTTTCGAACACACAGTTACAAAAGATAGAAATGTTACTCAAAATATTATTTAAATATTCGTTTTAACATTGTATTCCTGTAAATGTTAGAACAAATTAAAAATAATAAATATATATGAAGAAAATTCCTTTTCAGGAATAAGCAACTGATGTAGCAAGCAAATTGGATAGTTAAAAATATTATTTAAAATTTTTGTTCCAAAAAATGTTGCTAATCAAAAATATTATATAAAAAATATATAAAAATATATATTTTAACAAAGCTGAGGTCACTTAGGTCAAATTTTCTTGTTAAAATTTCTTGTCCAAATATTTCGCTGATGAATATGATGTTCAAACAGAAGTAGATATATTACAAAATTTATAAAAATGGGACTTGCATATTTACTCTGTCTGCTTACTACGAACCTGTATGTACAAATTTTCGTTTGTATTGAACAAACTTATAAAATATGAAGTAAAATAATTTTCATTAATAAAAACTCGCTGAGTTTAGTTTAAACTAAACTTCACTTTAGTAAGGTATCCCTTTAACTAAGGTATAATACAAATATTTTATTTTTATAATAAATCTTGCAAAATGGATAAATATTTTTGATATCTGGGCTATTAATTAAGGAAATAAATAAAAACGAAACAAAAGGTAAGATTTTCTTTAAATACATTAATGACTGGGAAGACTTTTTCCAAATTATAAAAAGTTTTTCCTGGCTAAAATTGATAAGACCATGTATTTTACCTTATCCTTTGCGTAGGCGGATCACAGTATATATCAAAGGAAAATATATATAAAATACGTATTAAACCGAAAAAAAAGACCATTTGTGGTAAAATAATATCATCTTTATTGTACACAATGTTCTCCCATCACAAATAGTACCAAATAAAATAAATACACAGTAATACACACTTAAAGAATCAAAAGAAAATCGGATAAAAGTAAGAAACACAATACTTCAAAATAATATCTGTTGCATAGAAGAGTGTGGATTACAAAAGTTACGTTCCGTTTCTGTTTTTGCTTTATATATAATATATATACATTATTTCCGGGTTTGTTAAAACTCACTCACAAATAAGATGATACATTTAAAAATAAACAGAAAAAAATAACATACATATAAATACTGAAGTTACTATTTAAATATACATATATAAAAAAAAGTCATGTCTAATATACCGTACGGTAGAAAAAAAATGACGTCACAGTGGCGATTGATATAAATAATATACAGGGTGGTCTGAATTGTATTTGGGAAATTTCAGCAGCGTAGTCTGCAGGTAAAAAAAAGTTGGTAAGTAAAAATAAGTTTGTATATAAATTTATGTCCTAAAATGATTCGTTTCGGAGATACAGGGTGTAGAAGTTTAATTTATATTTCGGTTTTTTTCAAATAATTTCTGATCTATAGTCGATATTTGGATGAAAATTGGTATCTGACATTAGAAATTTGATTTCGAGGTCAATATGACTCAACAAGTAGGAGTCATATAATAAAAAAACTGAAACTTCTACACCCTGTATCTCCGAAACGACTCATTTTAGGACATACATTTATACGAACATTTTTACTAATTTTTATCTGTAGAATATGCAGCCGAAGTTTCCCGACTACCATTCGAACCAAATTACAAACGATTGTCTCTTTTTTCTCGACCTTACGGTATAATTTTAAGCATACCTTATCACTGCAAATAAAATTAAATTGCTTTGATTTCATTTGATTTGTCAAATTTCCCTATGTAAAGCTTCGAAACACTAGAGACATTTATTACTTGTCATGAATTGTCTATATATAGTGCGGGATCAAATGTTCTGCAACGAATTTATTGCTGGTCTTATACAAAAGGCATACTTGAAGAGAGTTTTAAGTACAATATTGAGCAATATAGGTCTAGAAAGAGATAAAATCATTTCTAGTATAGTAAAAACTATGTTTTTAAGTACTCTAAAATAAAACTAGTCTAATTTTAAACATTTTGAACTTTCCCATCGCAACAACAGTTACTGTCATATCACAAAAATATATACTATATTTGAACACTGAGGGATATTAAAAATACGTATTTATTAACAAAATTCACAGAGATTTACAATACTTTACGTTAAAAAATTGAATATATATGCTATTTTATTGTATTTTTTAAATCAATTATATTTGTAAAACACCCTGTGTCACACATAAAGAATAATTTTGAAATATAGTTAAGGTTTAAAACTAAACAACCCTCTGTAGGTTATTTTAATTGGTGTCAAAATTTTTGATTCATGAAAATAGTTAAAAGAACTATAAAATGACTATACAGGGCGAGTCATAAATCAGTGCAAATACATATTTTCAGTTTAATTTACTACCGATGTTGTTATATTAAATAATATGACAAAATCGGTAGTAAATTAATTTTTTAACTAGAAATCTAAAAAAAAATTCGAGAAAAACCTCATAGGGATCCCATTGCAGGCATCGAAATATGCCACCCTTAAAAACATTTGCACTTATTCAAGACTGTATATTGTAAAATTTAATATTTTTTAGAAATTTCGAATGCAATTTCAAGCTAAAAATTTGATATTATTACCTATGTCAAGAAAATATTGGAAGCCAATAAGATATTTTCCCTCAAATGTAATGATTATCTAGCTATAATAAAGATTGCTATAAATATTAAGGCAATAACAAAAATCAGGAACTCAACAGTTACATAAGCAAATATCGCGTAACTAAAATCTAAGTGTCATCTTTGATGTAAGATACAGAAACAACATCCCCACCTACATTGATGAGACATTGGCCCTGTAAAGAAATAAAAAAAATCGTTCTTTTTTATTAGAAAACATATGAGTGACAAATCTAAAAAACTGTAAAATTATATATTTGTATAAGTCAGGAACTTGAAAAAATCTTAGAGACAGACAGCAAGTCAAATATTGAAATACACATTATTGTTTCTATGATTTCAAATTTAAACTTTTCCCTTTTACCGCAGAAACTTCGTTCTACTCGATGTCAAAAACACAAAACTACCCTCATATTTGCGAGAATTCTTGTTTAATTAGAATTCTTATCAAATTAAAATAGAGTGTGCTATTATAATTAACAGCCAAACTAACCATTGGCGGAGATAAGGAACTTCCCACTCCACAATTCTAATTTTAACCTACTGATAATAAATCGTATCAAGTAAATTTATCAAATAAAAAATAGTTTATTTATATAATTCAGAAAATAACACCATTTATAATAAATTAATTTTTACTGGAAGATTTTTTTTTACTTTAGTAAAAAAATGTAGTTCTTATTAGTAAGTACGCCACTGTGAGTGACTGAAAAATATTTTCGGTAGGTTTTGAAAAGAACGGTCTTCTAGAGAAGGCATGTTTTATTGTCTTTGTTCCTTTTATTTTTAAATTAAAATAATATACGTAACATAATTAAAGTTACTAAATACCTCAAATATATATATTTTTTTCATTTTACAATTAGTTTATGAAGTACTAGGAAAATTATTTAGCTACAAATATAATTAATTTTGATAATCTCAAAGGTAAGTGACTCAAAAAAATAGTCGCAACAACATATATTGCCGCAAAACTTGTCGACTTTTGCCACTTCGCAAAGTTAATTTTTCTAATGTACTCTGATGCTTGCGTATGAAACTTTTTACTATCATAAAACCATTTTTGGAAGTGCACTTCCCAAGCGAAACTAATAACGGCTTTGAGTATGTGACACATCTGTAGACTTCGGAACAGTATTATAAAATTGTCTTACGAACATATATTACGAATCCATCTTTCTATTTTAGAAACAAAATAAAAAAAAATCATCAAAACCACAAAACTTATATTTTTTTAACCAGTAAATAAACTACCGTATGATCGAAAAAAAAACGGCGTCAGCGATGGCTATGAAATAAAGATCGCTGTCATTTTATATGTAAAGTTATACGGAAAATGTCACTGATCGTCATTTCATAGCCATCGCTGACGCCGTTTTTATTCGATCATACGGTATTACCCTTTAACACATTAAATTACACATTAAAAAAATACCTAATTACACATTAAAAATAGTATTTAAAAAAAACAAAGGGCATGTCCTTGTCGATAATTTCTTCTATATCTCTTCTAAATCTTTTATTTTTTATTGTTTTCCTATGACAAGTCATCATTTATCAAAATTACTAAAGACAAATACTGAGACAAACGGCTATATTTTTCAATCAGATATAAAAATCACTAAAAATAAATAATATCGTTCAATACTTACCTTCAAAGTTACAAAAAAAAAATACTATAACAGAAAAATATTATCTTTTATTTATTTTGGAATATCTTGATTTTTGGATAGTATCTTAAAGATAGGGAAAATACTTAAAAATAAGTTATAAAAAATCAATTTAAATAATTAACTTGGTTTGAATAATTAACTCAATACAGGGTCTTTCAAAAAACGTGCCATCCCGCGTAGGGAGATTCCTCACGTAAAAATAAGATTTACTTTTCATATCGTCATCCGATTCTGCTTTATTTCGTAGCTACAGGGTGTTAAAGACTTAATATTTCTTCGATTTATTATAATTTTCTTCTAAGTGTCTTTAGCGATTGGAATGAAATTTTGAGGGTAAAATTTACTATAACTTCTATATATTGTAATGCTAAAAACGTGTCCGTAGATTCACCAGGGACGTGCATATGGGTTATCACTGGAATTTTTCTAAAATAAAAAGAGAAAAAAAGTGCGCCACTGACTTTTTTCCTCTTGTTCGAGAAATTGCGTTTATTTTTCATAATATATATTTTTCAGAATAATATTTGAAGGATAGTTTCACCCCCTTAGAATTCGAGTTTTGAAAAATCCCTTCTTATCGAACCTCTACACCCTAAAGTCAATCTGTTTTCCAAAAATCAGCTTTTTACGTCAAGCGCTTTAAGCAGGATGGGGATTAATTAATGACCAGATTTTTCGAAACACCCTGTATACATTTTTAAAAAATTTTAAAATATGTAAAAAACAAAATAAAATATACGTGTTTAAGCGTTTTTCCGGAAACTTACTGTTTTTTAAATAAAAAATATTGTTTTATTTTCACCCTCTTGGAACTGGAATTTCGAAAAATCCCTTCTTATCGAACCTCTACACCCTAGAATCAACCTGTATGCCAAAATTGAGCTTCGTACGTTGAGTAGTTTGAGCAAGATCGTGATTAATCAGTATGTCAGTCACTTAAGGATTTTATATATTAGTATAGATAACTACGATTAATATTATGCATATTATTAGATCGTACTCTGACATTTCAAATTCACAACAAAAAAAGTTAAAAATAATATCTTTAAATTGCTGACCTGGATATTATTTATTTGAATCTTTCAATTGGCTCAATTTTCCTTATTCAATGATAATTAGCACTCATCAATATTGTTGCGATGAATATAATCAGATTAAATAATTTAAAAAACCAGAGTCGGACTTGAAATTATTTTTTAAATAGTTTTGTTATTGTTAAGACTAAGACATTCCAGACATTCCATAAATATTATGCATGTCCCTGGTGAATCTGTCGACACTTTTTTCGCATTAAAATATGTAATATTTATGGTAATTTTAACCCTCCAAATTTCATTTAAATCGCTAAAAGCACTTAGACGAAAATTATAATAAATCGAAAAAAACATAAGACTTTAACCCCCTGTATCTACGAAACAAAGCAGAATCGGACGTATGTGGATTTTTTTGAAACACTCTGTATAGAAAAGAAAGGAAATGCAACAACTGAATTAATTTTACTTCAATCATTTATATTTAATTATTTAAATTCTTTAAAAAAATAATATACTTAGGTCAGATTGGGATATCTGTGGTTAGGCAACAAATAATACACAATCTCTTCAAATACCACAACAGTTTTGTTTTTACAAACCTTATATTTTTTTAGAATAGGCTGAAAATTCATTAAAAGGCAGTTTTATAAATGATCTCTTTATGTATATTGATACGAGAATTAAACTGAACTCACCTGGTTCTTGTGAAGATTGTGATTAAGTACGCACTCAGTCATGAAATAAGCTACTAATGCGTTGCCTCCTAAAGCTGTCACATGTGATCTCACTATAGCTAAAACTTCGGTCACGAAACTATGGATAAATCCACTCAACCCGCCTTCCTATAAAAATATAATCCTTTAAAAAACAGTTCCTATTTGAAAAAACTCGTTTCTGTTTTACCTCTCTTATTGATGTAGTCTCTCTAATAAAAAAGAAGTTTAAATTTCCTAAATATTGTTCAATAGTAGCTCCAGGAACATAACTTAAAGGAGTGATATCAACTCCATGCCGATCATTTTGATGAACCTATATATTAAAATGTTTAAGATTATATTCATTATATTTGAATAAAATAATAAGTTAGGTATGTTACATTATCATGTTTTATTGATGATGGTCTGGTTTTTGATGGAGACTTGTGTGATCTTGATTTTAAACTTGGGAGACGAGGCCTTACTAGATAAGATGGAGAATTCTCTTGAGGATGGTCTTCATCCAATTTAAACATTAATTCTTCTTCTGAAATTAATTGCTATTCTTATTTAAAGATTTCGTTACTTTAAGAGAATATTACCAGGCCTTTTTGTTGATAAAATAACTTGACTTTTTTTAGTCTTTTGTCCTAATCCTAAAGCCATACCTAAAAAAATAAAATGGTAACAGAATACAATTAAATAAAAATTATGTTGAAATACACTACCTATTACATATAACTGTATTTCATCTGGCTCAGGTAAAGCAATACGGAATTGTAGATTACATAAAGCACATGGAACCATGCGTCTTAATTTGAAATAAACACTTTGTAATATTCTTATAAAGTGAGTCTGTAAATTAAATGGTGGTACAATCTTAGCCCTGTAAATTTGAGTAAACATCTGTAAATTTTTGATTATCTCCAAATCCTCTAAACCAAGCACTGATTCAGTGTTGACTACATGGAAACCACTAGGAGCCCTGTTTTCCATTAAAAGATGCAAAACTTCGGCATCATCAGGATCATCCACCTTGAATATTTATTTTAAACTTTGTATTATGATAATAAAAATAAATACCTCTAAAACATAACAATCTCTAGTATCAAGGGAATAAGGCATTTCCATGCTGGTTAATTCTTCATCAGAGTCATCATCTGAGAAACATTTTATATTTTGATTATCATCCTGAAAATATTTTTAAAAATAATTTAATAAAAGACATTTTTTTCTGTTAACCTTTATTTGATAAATTTCTTTATTTCTTTTTACTGTCTCATAGAGCATATTCTGGAGGTCAGCTACTCTTTTTTCATCAGATGCTTTGTCAGTAACCAGTATGGGCAAGTCAGGCGATGGTAAAGGCGATAAATACATCCCTGTCCCTGTTGCAACCCCCACAATCATTTTCTCCCCAAGAGTAATGCGTATTTGCAAGCCAAATATGGCGTTCATGCTTTTGATTTTCAATTTATTAATCAAAAGCCTGTGGAGTTCGTATTCTAAGAACGGTAGGCCGTCTGATATCTCTTTAGCAATAGTCTCCCCCCTCAAGTCTTTCAGCGGTCTTAAAACGTGAGCTTCGATAAAACAACCCTTTCCTACTGAAGGGAGGGATTCAGGAGGCTCAATAGTAGCTACTAGTACTTCCGGTACTCTACCTTTGCTATTATAACAAATATAAAAAAGTTTTAAAAATGCTTAAGACTTAGTAAAAGCTTAGTAACTTACTGACACATAAAGCATTTAGCAAACTTTGCTTTCATAGATACTTTTTTATTGTCAAAAGGAAGGTGAGTGATACTACAAGGATTTGATGAATGTTCTTTGTGATATGGGCTTTCATGCGATAATCTATATTGTCCATTCTAAAAAAAATATGCATTCATAAATTTATTTGCAGTAAATATTTTTTTCTTGCCATATTTTTCTCTCTTTCAGTTGCTTTTGACACAACTTGTACATGTGATAAATTCTCCTCATCTCCACTAAGACTGCTAAAGTCTATCACTGCTGCTGTACCACATGCACTTAAGACACACACATCTTCGCTAAAAGAAAATTGGAATTAGACAAAGTGTATCATATTTTAGAATTACACTCTATATTTCATAAAATAAAAAAGTCACTCAGAATATTAAAGCTACATAACATACAAAGATAAATTTATCTATTATACTATTAAATTATTACCATATACTTGTTGACTCTGTATAGCCCAAAACAACGTTGCAATTTAAACTCCTGGCATGTGATCTAATTTCCATACGTATTTCTGACCACCATATGTCTCTAGATTCTGGTTCTTCAACATTAGAAATTCTCTCTAATAATTTTACTGAACGAGCGTTTATCGAACCAGCTACAAAATAAAAATTTTAATATTTAGAATTTCCATTCACCAAATTGTCAAGTCTCGTTATTCATATACCTATATGTAAAATAAACTTGGAAGGAAATTTTGACATTGTCAAAAATGGGAATTCCAAAATTTCGAAAGTATCTTGGTTGACTTGCCCTCCACGTCTGCAGTAGTTGTTTCTCATAAAATAAGCTGCAGTGTTACCAACAGATCTATCACTCCCAGTCAAACTGTTCCCTGTGAAATTATCCAAGACATTAAAAATCTCCCGAAATAATATAATTATTGATATATTTCCGGATTTATAGCATTTATTAATATATGAGGGTATCTAGTCTAAACAAAAAATTCTAGGATAAACATTTATATTCTTTTAAAATATTCATGTAACATGCAATTCTCCAAAAGTTTATTGGGGTACACATAAGACATTGAAATTGATTTTTGAGTGCCTTTTAAGAAAAGAAAATAAATTTAGGGGGAGAATAAAAATTAAACATTTGATGTATGTGAAAAAGTTAAATGGTAAAAACTATATTACCACCATATTATATACAATATAACTTAAATTAACTCATATTTAAATTGAACGCCTTGTGAATTGCCTTCAATTTTAATATACTTCTTCTGAAACATACATATATTCATATTAATAGTGAAAACATATAATAGAGAATTGAGATGGTTGATAACACATAGAGAAACACCGATATTAACAGAGCAAGCAAATAGGTACTCACTTTTTCTAAACAATCCAAACAATCCTAAGGTTTGAATTCAAAAATAGACAATGGATAATATATTGAAGCTATTCCCGATACATATACAAGATTTATTATTTTTTTAAGTCAACAAAGAAGCTATCTCATTACAAAAACTAGTATATTTGTTCTAAATTGTAAAGTTAATAAACATATTTTTAAATAGCTTATAATAAAATATATTTTACTTTTATCTTATGAAATAATATGTTCTTTAACTTTACAGAATCAAAATTATCTTTATCTATAAAAATTAAAGTATGTAAACGTGTTTAGTTACCTTTAGGTGTAATGCTGAGATCAGAATCTGAAGATCTCCTGTGCAGAGCAAGCATGTTGTTGGATTTGAGTGGAGAGTTTGATATCTTGACAATATCTGGACTGATCTGGTCTTTTTTTTCACCATTCATGTCGTTTTTGTCTTGTGCTGGGAAACTGTGGTGCCTGTTTGATGTTATGCATGCTAATTCAGAATTGCGGCTAGCAGATTGGTCACCTGGATTGTCGCTGAGTCCAGGTGACCTTTGGGCTATATTAGATTGACCAGGGGATAATGATTGGTTAGTACTAAAATCGCGAACAGATAAAATTTCGTTTGAGGTTTGGGTTTCAACATTCTTAATTAACTTTTCTTCATGCCCTAAGTGAAACATTCGCGAAAGAAATGTAGGATGATGTTCTTTATTTTCAAAGGGAGGAATTTCATGTTTGCTGTGCTTGGAAAATTTATTAAATACATTCCCATGCTTCCCATTATCATTCTGCTTTCCGTGAAGAAATTTGAATCGTTTTTTTCTTAAATTCTTTTCTTGAAACGTCTCTATCATAGGTTGGTTTAGCTGAGTATCTGATAAATAACACAATCCTTCTTTGTGCATAGTACTACCACCTATAGATTTTAAAGATGATAGTGAAGTGAAGGGCATGCCAAGTACTGTCTCTCTTTGTTTATGGGGCTTTTTAGCATCTTTACTTAAAGGTTTTGTATGAGAAGATTCGTTGAACTCAAATTTATCTTTTCTATTAATGGAGGATTCATCTGAAACTATTGGGGAAGTTGGAGGAGTATAAGTGCCTAGTATATTGAATTTCTCTAAGAGCATAGTTTGTATTGCTGTTTTCACTATTTTGTCGGATTCAATTTGAATATTTTCAATGTCTACAGGTGCAATACTTTTAATATCATTTTCATTACTTACTTCAAAAGAAGGTACAATTGGATAGTGAACTTGGTTGGTATACAGATCATCTGAATTTGCCAGATTAATTTTATCTTCATTCTCTCTAGAATTAGGTAACTGAGATTCTAAATCTTCTTGATTCAGTTCTTTTATTTCTTGTTCATATTTTTGAATTATTTCTTGTCCTTCTTTAACTAATTTTATTGATTTTAGGTCCTCTAAAGGATTTGTTAAACTGGAAATATCTTGATGCTCGTGTGATGATGGAGATTCATTACTTTTTTCTTTGAGATTTAGGATGTCTTCCTCTGTGACAGATTTAAGACTTAGATTGGTAGATGAACCAGTAAGTGGATAATATTCCAAATGTTCTGTTTCATCACCAAGTTTATCTATTTTAGTTTGACTACTATTCAAATAATCTAGGCTAGTTAATGAAAAACCTCTAGTTGGAATAGAAGGTAATGAATACTGTTTCTGTAAATGACCTCTTAACAAAGTTCTCTGAATTTTTTCTACATTACTTATAATGCTACTAATTGTGTCCATTTCATTGCTACCCTTTCTGTAACTTCTGTATTCATACTCAGAACTACTGCTGCTGGAATCTGAACTGACATATGATTGAACATCATCTGGAATACTAATCTGTGATTCAGCTTTACTTAGTAAAGAGGCCACAGGTTCCAGCGTTTGTGTTGTATCATCCTCATTGTTTGTAAGAGTTTGATCTTCAAGAATACTGCTCAAGCTAGTTGTGGCATGCATTACAGACCTTGCTAAAATTTCTGCCATGGCACTTGAATCACTACAAGACCTTTTAAAGGGTCTTTTTTCAAGTGTGCTTACAGGACTATTTTCATCTGCCTCCTCGCCAATACTATCATTAATTTTGGCTTTTAAGGCTGTCATTTTCTTTGACAAAGATTTTTGTGACTCTTTAAATTTTTGAAACCTCCTGGTAATTACTGATTCACCGCGCTTGTCTTCTTGATTTAAAAGGATTTTTAGAGATGCAGCGTCGTTATTTAATGAGGGATTTGAGGCAGTTATTAACTGTGATGCTAATGGGTTAAAATCAGATTTTAAAAATTTTAATTTGCGGTTTGTTATATCTAATGAAGAAAATGGCTTATAAGTAGGTAAATATTTATATAATTTGAGGGAAGGTAAACTGGCGCGTAAGCTAAAGCTTTTCCCATCACCAACAAAATTTAAGTAGTTTTCTATATCCCTACATATAAAGAAAAAAAAAACATAATGTGGAAAATATTTTAATAATCAGGCTGTTAAGAAAGCATGTAACATGAAAGTTAATAAACTTACTCTTCTCTTGTTTCTACAAGTCCATGATGACCAATAGTAGTTTTAACTAGTGTTACTGCAGTTCCTATTCCTCTGGCAACTATTCCAGATTCGCCTTCAAGATCAAAACACTGTTTATATCCTATCACAGCATTTGCTCCTAATCCTAATGCTTTTACACCTAAAACATCAATATGAACCCTCTGATACAGTGCTTTTCCACAATATAAAATTTTATACTGTGATACAGTTTTTAAAGTATATGCATATACCAATTTTTCTCTGTAATTCTCCAGATAACTTAAAAAATAAGGTTTGCCGGGCCTCATTTGAGGCCCTGGGAGTCCTAATTTTATCAATCCATTGATATTCTGGATCATCATCCACTATTAATTCTTCAACAAAACCATTGATAACTTTTGCTTGATAGCCTTGTGGGATAGTTGGTGCTATAATGTTGTAAATTCTTAATACCAAAATCTATATCTAAATGTTAAACTTACAATAAAAGAAATGTACTCCACATGAAGACTGGCGAAATCTATTAAAGTCTGAAAATAATTCTACTTTAACTGTTACATTGACTTCTCCCCTTATCCCATGCATAGTGTCATAAACTGGTATCCACCCTGATATTTCATGGTGAGAACTATTATCACCTAACTCACCAACTACTGGAAGTAACAGTGGATTTAAATTTAAATATACCTTTCCTATAGCATCATTTGCTGAATATGTGTCATGGTCCATAAGTCTTATTTGGAGAGGTTCATCTTGTAATTCTGAATCGTCCACCTAAAGTTTTAAATCAGAGCTATAACAGATGAACTAACTGAATGTTAATGCTTACCTCAAATCTATACCATTCAGAATTCCATTGAGGATGTAATGTTCTGCGACATACCTCCGTTTTATAAGTAGTATTGCCCAATTTAATTTCAACATAAGCGTCTGTCGTATCACTAGATCTATCCATAACAGGTAGATTTTTTCCAGATATAATTTTTACCTTCACTTTTCCAGGCATCTTGATATATAATTTATCGAATTTATCAATTGAAACTTACACTACCACTTCACAAAATGCAACGAATTATTAGTCGTTAAAATATGTTGTAAATATACCCAATAAAATAACATTTTATGAACTATATCAGCTTTGTAAAAGAAAAAATGCTATTTATAGTTCTCAGAAAAATTCGAAATAACCAGGTTAGGTTTAAAGTTGACAGGTTGGTAATTAGGGATGCCCGAAAATAACAATCATTCCGATAACCGGATATTTTATTCCCAATTCCAAGAACCGTTACTTTTAGGTTATTTTATTTTTACTGACCCCGAATACAGTTTGTTTTTTTATTATGACAAAAAAGGGTCAAAATGTCATGCAAACAATGATAATTTTCTAAATATAAATTATCTGTTAATGTAATAGATAGGTACCTGTTAATTTACAGCTTTCAATCATTTATTCAAATCGTGTTTTAAGGTCCTTGAATTTCTAAGTGGTCAATTTTTTTGTCCGTTTTTCTTTAAAAATTAATACTAGGTGATAATTCTTTAGAGATATTTTTTCAGAAGATATTATATTTAAGAGATTATTTAACGGGTTATTAATGATAACCGGTGTAGATTTAACCACTAACCCTTGGGTGAAATTATCTTGACGGGAAAATAAGAAAAATAACCGGTTTTTCGAAAATTATTAACCCGATAATAGCGAGTTATTGAAAAATAACCGGTCATACAATAACCGGAATTTTCCAAAAAATGCCCATCCCCACAGGTAACCAAAGAAATCATTATATTTTAAAAATGAAATGAATATAAATGGTAGTAGTTAAGAGGGTTTCCTATAGATGCCGCGTTTTTCCAAAAATAAATGTCTAAAATCAAAATCTTCACCAAACAACAAAAAATCCATAAATTTATTTATTGACAAATATATATATATATAATATACGTTTTAATATTCAGGCAATATTACAATTTAATTATTAAATACTTACAAACTATTTACAAAAAGGTTGTTGTATGTAACCAGACATACACCATCACCGCAGTATTGGAAACAAAATAGGTTTAAATAAACTATATAATATTTTAATTCCTGTACTGTATACATTTAATAACATTAAAATATCTTATTATTGTATATAATATAAAAATACTGTATTGCCGAAAAAAAAAATTTTACGAAAAAAGACTATAAGAACTTAAACAGTTGTATGTAAAATTATAGTAAATTTCAATTGAGTTGAGGCAGTTTAAGAGCGCTTTCCGTTAGATGTCGCAAGTTGCCGCTTTCTGCAATATTGAAATATAACTGGCGCGTTCGCCAATATATTTATATTATTTTTAGTATTGATGTTGGAAAATATTGATTTAGCTAATATAAAATACGGAAAAAATAAGTAAAATACAAATAATATAGTTAAAACAAAGCAATAAAAATCATTTTAATAATTACAGTAATGGTATATCGAGGTGTTACTATATATTTAAACATTTGGCCATCAAGAATCAAGAATAGATAGAAATTGTGAATCATATTTTCTATTAGACATAAAAACCATTGACAATGTTGTCATTTTATATGACAAATGTCCTGAAATTTAATATGTTAATAATAATATTGCCTGAAATCAAATTCAGTGTATTAGGGCTTGAAGAATAATTTTTTTAACGAGCAATTTTAAATTTTGTTGTTATATTGTGTGCTTTATAGTAACAGCAATATTTAAAATTATATATCCTGTCCTTAAAGCTGTTCTTTTAGTTTGGCAACGGCATCGATGCTAGAATATTGGTGACAGCGGGCATTAGTCATCACGATGTTGCCGGACTTGCGCGCTAAGTTTAAATAGTAAGTAACCTCTCGAGCGGGCCAATGACGTTCAAGAACACATTGTAGGCCTGAAATGAATGGTTTGTGTTTGGATGACTCATTTCGGTTCTCACTCCGCATACCATACATATGAGGATTTCTTTCGCGAATATGTAACCAAAACTTGCGGACTTGTTTTCTAATTTGACGTGATAAGAGAAACACGATTTTCCAGTGACACTTGGGCATCTCTACGTAAAATACAATGCCTTGTTTATATTTAAATTTAGTGTAGTGCTTGGATATTGCTCAGTGTTTTTTTTTCTGTTTACCAATGAATTCCGCCAGTCAAAAGGGCCTAGTTCTTTAAACCAAGATTTCTTGGTAAGGTAAGGTTATTATCCATTGATATTTTCTTTTAAGTTTTAATAGTACATAGTAGAAATTACTATAGATAGATTTCATATTAAACAATTTAAATTATTATATTTTATTGGAGGTATTTAAAGGAATGCGCTTTCCAGTCACCTGTACCTTGGTAACACATTTTTTTAGAATCGAATAAACAAATTTCAATTGTATCTTATTAAAATACGTGGATGTAATTATGTCTGGTTTAAACAAACAAATCTAATTAAAGTTTACACGTACATTAGCTTTATTTTAAAACACTTTTGAATGACAAAAAGTTAAATACCTACATATCTATTAGGCTCCTAATTTATTATAATATGTTATTGATTGTTGTATATGTTTTTTTTAATATCTTTTAGCATATTTTTACTAATTCTGTTTGTGTCTTATTTTGTCTGTTATTTAGTAATATTTAAAAGTCCGAATCATCCACTAATTTTAGATGAATAACATCAAGTTTTCTTTAAACCTCCTTTTTTGATTCACATTTTTGTCGTGTTTAGTAAGAGCGTAAACGTATTATTTTTGGTCCCCGTTCAAAGAAATATACGCACTTTTTTCTTACTGTTATTTATATAGATATTAGTCACTTAATTGTTTTTGTTAAGTTGTCATCGCTCAGAGCAAGTCTTATTTCTCCTCCAGTCATGCTAGCACATCGAAAGTAACAGTTTCTACAATTTTACTCTTGGTCGTGATATCAAAGCATTCGTTAAAATGTGGAATTAACTGATAAACGTTTAAGAAAGTCTATACAGGGTGATTGTGATAAATTAGTTCCACCAGAGAACCAGAGCATGAGTTAGTGTAGTGGTTTGATTTATTATACAAAGGGAAAAATTATAAGTTAATTTTCAAAAAAAATAACTTTAAATAACTTTTTTTTTCAGATACTTATAATATTTTTATCTCTTTATTATTTATAGAAATTAATTATCTTATAATTACTAAAATTATTTAAAGACTTATTTAGATTTAAAGACACAATTTAATTATTACAAGTATTACATTCTGTTATATTTTATAAGCTAGTAACTCTTTAATCGATTTCTAAATTGTAAAAACTGTGAAAAGTTTGAATGTGCTATTATCTACTATTAGTATCTAAACATTTGTCAAAAATATACTAAAATTAACCATAAAGATTGCATCATGTTTGTTTACCCCCCTTCAAATTTGGCTATATTTCAAACCCCGTAATACTTCTTAAATGTCTAGGAATAAAATTATAATACATTGCAATTGCATTACTACTTCATTCAGAAATATAAAATGGGAAGGGGGTCCAGTATTATAAATTCGGCAATAATTAAATGTGTCTATAGCCCACGTATCCAAATCTCAGTTTTAATTAGAGTATTTTTTAATAAAGATTACAGGTTTATTAGAATCTCACTAACTGAAGATATTTTATTTGCTAACATCTTTGGGTAAAACGCTTTGAATAAAAAGATTAAGGAATGAGCATATATCAAAAAAAGGTCTAGCGCAATGGGGATCAAAAATGGCCGACTTAAGTCCGGTTTATCAGTGCCGTTCTAATTTTATTCAAAACGGGTAAAAATATGATGTAGGGTAGACTCAATAATTTCTTGTTTTATTTTACGTTGTCAAATAATTGTTGCTTGTTATTGTTATAAAAATATATAATTCTAATAAAAATAGATAAGCTATAATAATTATTTAATAACATAAACATCCGAGATACGCTACTGAAGCAGGTAAGTCAAATTGACATATCTAAATTTTTTGACAAGTAGTAAATAAAAGCAAAAATACAAGAAAATATATATAATTAAGTTAATTTGTGTGAATTTTATAAATGATAGGTTTACTACACGGATGTATATTATATAGTCACTTACTTATAGTGAAACGTTATTCCATTATTTCCCTCGATTTTTGACCGAGATCTACCGCACGCTACAGTATTTTTCGATAAATTGTAATAATGTCGCTATTAATTTAAGTTCTGCCACAAAAAAAAATCCCTTCCAGATTAACTACCTCTAAACAACTACCAGTTGTAGAATAAATAATAAATAACAACCAAACCAAACCAAACATAAAATAAGCTCAGTAAAGACTGACAAATCCACAAAGTTTCAAATCAAAACAAATGTGTCAAATGAATCGTCAAACATAACTGTCAAGGATCCCCACCCTAGGACTCCACTACCATGCATGAATACATGCATAGCATTATACTCTTTCCTTAATCTTTTCATTCAAAGGTAAAACGCTACTCATTATAGGTTTCATAGGTATTTATTAAGATAGATTTTCATCATAAAAAAATTGTTGGTCTTAGTTTCTCTTCACTAACACGGAAATTACTTGATCTGTTGCGAATAATATCTTTTTTGGGGTTTGTTACATTTTTGTTTGTTTGTTGTTAGTTGGGAGTAGTGGAGTAGCGAAGAGTTACTTTTGCAACATCACTAGTATGTAAGCGCGTGGTCGCTGGCACTAACAACATCGTTTTTTTGCAGCTCTTCCCAATTTAGCCCGTGACGCTAGTACCTCACGTCACCGAAATGTCGGTGTGCTTCGAGAGTAGTCGTCCACGGAACGGCTTAAAGTTACCTCTTAACAGGAGCTTCAGCGAACCTGGCACTACCACTCCAACGCATACTCCAATAAGTCCGCCAAAAAGATTCAAACTGGAGCCTCAAAGCAGCATCAGCCTACCGACTAGCCCCTGTGCCGAATCGGCAACGCTGCAACGCACCTGGGTGCTCAATCACTTGAAAACGATAGACTGCGATGGGCTAAAGACCAAACTGCAGGATCCTAGGATAGCCAGGAACTTCGTCCTGATCGACTGTAGGCCGTTTATGAGCTATAACATGAACCACGTAGGTGGAGCTATTAACCTGAACTGCTCGGACCGATTCAACAGGCGGAGGCTGCAGCTGGGGAAGGCAACCCTTGCCGACTTGGCAACGACGCGCGAAGGCAAAGAAGTGTTGAAGAAGAGGGCCTTCAAAGAGGTCATCATCTACGACGAAGGGACCAACGACAAAGAAAAGATTAATGTGGGACATCCCTTATTTTTGGTGTTACTGGCACTAATCGAGGACCACAAAGAGCTATCTTTACTTTTAGGTGAGTCTGTTTAATTCTGTTTGGAGCTTTCAGTTTTTCCGTATGATTTTACAATACTAAACAAAGATTTACTGAGAATATTTTATCATGCAACAGGTTTGGCATTGCTATACTACAACAAAATATTTTTAGTTCTCAAAAATACTTGGAATATTTGGAATGGGCAAATATTTTTATAAGTGTGTATACACTCAAAGTTAAATCAGAAAAATAAACGAAATTGTACTACGAAGCCGAAAATTAAAGAGTGGGCGCTGAATCTAAAAAAAACATTTTTGTATGTCATTTCAAACTTTTGAAAAAAAAAATTAAGTTGTGATCTTTTTATTTTGAGAAAATAATTTGGTAACTTACAAATTTTCAGGTGAGGGTTTAAAAGTAAATCAGATTGAAAAACTCCCTTCAGAAACCCTCTATTGTTTTTTTTTGGATCAAAACAAGTTGTAAAATGAGTTTATTTTATTTATCCTACTATAAATGTTGTGTCCTCTCTACTACAAACTACTTAATATTATTTATATATTTCTTTTTCAAGACTTTGTAAATTTTTATTGATGACATGTTAACAACAATTAATGCTTTTTTTAATTCTTTTACTCTCTTATATACAGGGTGAGTCTTAAATAAGTGCAAATATTTTCAGGGCCGGTAGATCCCGATAAAAGAAACATATTTCCCCTTTACCGTTTTTCAAATAAATAATATATAATAACGGAGTTATTTTATTTCGAAAATTTAAAAAAAAAGATTTTTTGCCTAAATTTTGAGAACCACTGGATCTTTTCTGGGTTTCTTTCTTGTAAAATTAATCTACTACCTATGTTGCCATATTATCAAGAAATTATGTTTTTTAACTTAAAACCAAAAAAATTCTCAAATTTTCAAAATTTTTGCGAAAAAGACTAGATAATCGTGTTTCTGGGATCGAAATATACTAACCCTAAAAATATTTGCACTTATTTAAGATTCACCCTGTATAGTTATGGACTATTAATATAACATTATTCCAGAAGAACTACTCTATTTTCCTGGTATAAAATTGATAACCTTTCGGTTTTTAATCTGAATGACCCATATGCACAAGAATCATTTCCGCCATATGAGTACATTTGATTAGAATAGTTTTTATTATATTATCCATTAATGAAGACTTGTATTATGCATTACGTATCCTTAGTAAATTAACTTTTGAATCTTTAACTCTTTTACTATTTCAAGTTGGCAGTTTTATTAGTATTTTCTGTTATAATGAGATTATTTTTGAAGGGTTTCAAGAGCCGTTTTTACCATGCCGGGTTGTATGACAAATCTCGTACAGACAGTGAACGGGCTTTAGCCTGATGATTAAGCGAATTTTCTCAGAACATAATACCAAAAAGGCAAATAAACCTTGTTTTAAATGTTAATATTTATATAAGGATCGCATCATTTTTTAACATTGTTTACAAATGTGATATCGAGACTTTTTGATGAACACCAATAATGTCAGATTTTTTTAATAAGATTTTAAATTAGTATAGTATATTATACACAGTGTATGTAGTTCAATTTTTTATTTCATAACATCATAGGGTCAAAAAACCAGCGTCTTGGAATTTAAAAAAAAATTGACAGTACAACTGGAGATATTTTGAAAATTTCAACACCCTGTATTCTTTCACAGGGTGTTGAAACAGTAAAACAAGTAGACCACGCTGTATATTCTGTTATAATATATTATTTCTCTTTATAATAGTGACAGTCAATTATATAAAAAATGCTCATTTTTTCCATACAGAGATGGCATATTTATGTATGTAGATCTCGTAGTTATGCATTACTGAACGTGAGTCATACCCGATACATTAACAATTATTATTCCAATTAAGCTACATATAATTAAAATGATTTCAATACGCCATGCTATCGAAGGTTGACAAAATCTGAAATAATGTCGCAAAAAAATGAAAGCTACATGTTTCAAACGAATAAAATAATTAACTCTGCATGCAAAAAAATGCTAATGGACAATACATCAGTTTGAAATATAATAACCGCTGTATTTTTTCTCTGTTTATATATTTCATTTTATTTTATGGGGCTTTGTTTTTTTTAACAAAAAGAAATCGTTTTACAATAATGTTTGACTGATTGATAACAACGGGTTATGCTTTTTTATTGATCGTTACTTCTAATCAACTTTTTGTAATTTATTTTTATATCTCTGGAAAAAAATAAGAGGGTTTGGCTTCGGAATTTTGGCTTTTTCAAAATTAAATATCTTAATCTCATTGTTATTATAAAATTTTTATCTATAACCTGATTGCACATATACACTAATAAACAGGATGGAGTGTAGCCTCACAATTAGTTATCTGATGTTATATACAGCTTAGTAATAATTAACCAAATATAATAGTAACAGTGGCGGAATATGGTTTTGTATTTAAAGAAATTAATACAATTATTATTAAATCTGATTTATTATATAATTTTATAGAAGTGTTCTGAAGTGAATTATTCTATTAACAAAACGTATACATACATATGTGATTTATTTATTTATCCAGGTATATTTGTCTGAGTTAAAAAGAAAGACATACAATATTATCTCAATGAGTGGAGGAAATCAAATAACAGATCACATGAGTAAACATAGTGAATTAAGTTTGCTTTCAAAGTATAGTGTAAATTTTTAAAATATTGCAAACTTATTAAAAGCAGTACTTAAAAAGTATACGTTTTGTCTATGTATAAAAATACTAATGATTGATTCGAGTGGTTTGTCACTTACAAATTTATGTTACTCGAAATTAATGTTATTTATGGCTAAGGATCTGTATACAGTATATTTATTTACAAAGATAATATTTTAAATTATTTCAAGTCTTAAGTGTCCTTACCTTATCTTAAACAGTAATGATTTTACATTTTTGTATTTATTTTAATGCATTGTAGGGGAACAGTTGTATATCTTAAATTGTGATTTTTCTTTTAAAAAAGTTGTTAATCATTCAAGGATAATCCTTGAGAAATAAGTCATTTTACTCATGACTAAGTTGCTTGGTACTTTAATGGTTTTAATCACTGGAATAACGACTCATCACTTCTTCTTTGGCTTATAAGGATGGTATAGGATACAATGGTCTCTATTTTCTTATTCTGCGCCTTTTAATTAGTAAATAACAGAATTTTTAGCAAAATCGGTGGCATGAAGAAAATTGCCAATCTATGGAAAGTCGAAAAAATGCCAATTTTTTAGACATTTTCAAAGGTCTTAGAAAAATAGTAAACATTGTCATAAAATTATGAAAATTACAGCATTTGTAGGAAATTTTATGTAGATTCAGAATATATACAGCTCTAAAGACTGAGGTATCTTGGATTTGTGAGAAAATTCATTTCCTAAACCATTGTTTTTGAACTATTTTTGATGATTGTTAAAACTTCCGCTACATCTAATACTGTGCTCGTAAGACCACAACGGTCTATATTTTCTTATTCTACACCTTTTAATTAGTAAATAAAAGCGGTTTTAACAAAATCGGTGACATGACGAAAATCGCCAATTTTCATGACTATACATAATGTATGGAAAAACGTCGAAAAATGCTAATTTTTAGGACTTTCTTAGACATTTTCAAAGGCTTAAGAAAGAAAATAAACATTATCATAAAATTATGAAAATTATAGCATTTGTAGGAAATTTTATGTTGATTCAGAATATGTACAGCATTAAAGGCTTAGGTACCTTGACTTTGTGAAAAAATGAATTTTCTAATTAATACTGTAATAAAAATAAATTAATACTGTAATTCTTAATAATACTGTGCTCGTAAGACCACAATATCATAGAGTTTCTCATAGTAAAACCTTTTTTTCTCATACCAAACCAGACCTTTTTATTAGTGACAGAACAGCAGTTTTAACGAAAATCGCCAATTTTTACGACTGTATTATATATAGAAAAAAGCCTAATTTTTGGCTATTTTTTACACAGTTTCAAAGGCCTTAGAAATATAATAAACGTAGTCATAAAATTATGAAAATTACTGAATTTGTAGGAAATTTTAGGTAGATTCAGAATATATACAGCTTTAAAGGCTTAGGTACCTTGACTTTGTGAAAAAATGAATTTTCTAATTAATACTGTAATAAAAATAAATTAATACTGTAATTCTTAATAATACTGTGCTCGTAAGACCACAATATCATAGAGTTTCTCATAGTAAAACCTTTTTTTCTCATACCAAATTACACCTTTTTATTAGTGACAGAACAGCAGTTTTAACGAAAATCGCCAATTTTTACGACTGTATTATGTATGGAAAAAAGCCTAATTTTTGGCTATTTTTTACACATTTTCAAAGGCCTTAGAAATACAATAAACGTAGTCATAAAATTATGAAAATTACTGAATTTATAGGAAAATTTTAGGTAGATTCAGAATATATACAGCTTTAAAGGCTGAGGTACCTTGGCCTTGTGAGAAAAATTATTTTTTGGACCCTTGTTTTCAGCTATACTTGTAATATACTATACTGTTCTCGTAAGACTACAACGACCCATATTTTCTTAATCTACAACTTTTAGTTAGTAAATAACAGCAATTTTAACAAAATCGATGACATGACGAAAATCGCCCATTTTCATGACTAAATATGCCCATTTTTTGTCTTTTTTGTACATCTTCATAGTCTTGTGGCTTAGATATCTAGGTTTGGTGAGGAAACAAATTATCTAGACACATGTTTTTGAGCTCTTTTTAGTTAAGCAATATTGTTTGTAAATAGGAAAAAATTGGCGTGCGTATTTTAACAGGTTTATTATTGACAATATAAGGTATTTTTCCGCACAAAAATCTTATGCATACGTCAACGAAACAAGTACATTGGCAAATGTATCCTTGACAAATGCAAATAACCCCTATTTTGTGATTCATTTGCTTGGAAGGCATGTTTTGTGAAGCCACTTGATATTATGCGTATTGTTAATTTCGTTATTTAAAAGAGCTAATACAC